CCTATTAGCCTTTGTATTAGTTACTCTAGCACTAACTACTAACTATCTGTTAATAGCTATAAACAGGAGCAAGAAATAGAACCCCTTTGTTGCCCTAATATACGATAGTAGATCTAACTATAACATTGTTAACTACCCTAGTCGCTTCAACTTTTAGGCAATATTTATTCTACCGCGAGCTACTATAGCAACAGGAACTAGATATAACAAAGTTATCGCTATCGGAAGGGCATCTTTTATAGTCAAGTTAGTAGTAGGTAAACCCCTAACTATTAAGCTAAAAGAGTGCCTCTATGTCCCTAATTTCTATACTAATATTGTTAGAGGGGCAATCTTTTATTACCGTGGGTTTAAGCACAATAAGCTTAATAATGTTCTCTACAACCTATAAGGGAAACTACTAGTCCCTCTTGTTAGACCGGACAACTACATACCCTATTTCGATATCACCTATAAAGCAGATAGTAAACCTCCGCTTAAATAGCTAACAGGGGATAAAGGCAAGCTATATTCATACCCCTTCTAACTGCCTTAGTTATCCTACGTAATAGCCCGTCGCTCCGCACGCCTACTACCGCTAAGGAAGCTTACACTAAAGCAAATACATAAGGTATTTAGGCACCTAGGTGCTAAAAGAGCAGAAGAGCTAGTTAATAGGGTTAATAGGATAACAAGAGATTATACACATAATAATAAGGTACTAAGAACACTACTTTGTCCTATATATATACAAGCAAAGGGAAAGAGGCTTATCTCTAGGAGGCTAAGGCACTATAATGTGTCGATACTAACTCTATATAGACACCTTGCAGCCGACCTAATGCAGCTAGATCTAGCCTACAATAGTGATTAGTATATGTTCTATGTATACGATCTGAATACTAGACTTCACTTTACATAGACAATTAGTAATCGCTAGGAATCAACTCTCCTTTAGTGCTGGAACTAGTTAGCTACCTTCGTACGCAGCATTAGTAGAGACATTATTTGTTTGTTATCTAATAATAAAGGGGGTATATTAGGATTTCGGTTTCGATCCTATCTACGTAATAACTACACTACTTAGAGGCTAACAGCCCTATACACATTAGAATAGGACCTAGCAGAGCGAGTAGGCCGTACTATTATTAAGGTAGCTCGAGCCTTGATAATATACGCCGGATTTCTACACAACCTATAGCTAGAAGCAGTCTATGCAGCTACCTTCCTCGCTAATAGATCACTAAGGTTACGGACAGCTAATCCACTAATGCGAACACTATATAAGATTGGCACTAGCTATAAACCGAATGTAGCCTATATCTACTAGTTTAGAGTAAGGGCATATCTAGTAATCTACGGCATAGAGACAACTAATAGCAAAAGGAGGGCTATACTGCTAAACACTATGAAAGTGGCCTTACGAACCTATATTAGATACCTATATAGATACGAGGGACACTCTATCTATCGGATATAGGTACCCTTACGAATAATAGTGCTACGTACAAGGGACGTTGTGTTTAATGAAACCAAGTTCTATAATAGCTATAATAATAACCTAGGTATTGTTATAACTAACTAAGAGCTTGTAGAAGAATATAGTAATCTCGAAGAGGTATAAGCACCCGCCTCGGAGCATTAGTTTGACGAGCTTCGAGAAGCCTACGATACACCTCTAGACCTTGTTAGGTTTAGAGCTAAGGGGGTAGATATACTAATAGGGCCTAGTCGACTTATGATAGTTAATAGGCTAACAGATAACCCTGTTAGACTACAACTACTACTACCTTAGAAAGAATTACTAGCACTAACTAAGCTACAGCCTATATAGGTGCCTATATAGAAACAAGACTTTCTAATTGATCTACGCGAAATACTACAACCGCGTAATAACGTGCTAAGTGAATTGGTTAAACTAACTATTAATTAGCAACCTTAACAACCTAAGAACGATGCTAGTACTTATAACCCTGCTAACAATGTAGACGCACTAGGTTACGCAGATAATATAGATATGAATTTACTGCGTATAGAGCTTGCTGAATTGCTAATGCTAATTGAAGCAGCTAATGTATCTTATCGTTACTTACTAAATATAGGAGGTCTATACTATCGTGTTAACAATCCAAACAAGCGACAACGAGCAGCCGCGATCCGTTACTATGTCAACGACCGAGACTAAGCGAGAAACCTCCTTCTATTTAGCAACCTGTATATAGTAGTAGAGCACGAAGCTAGGTCAACATATAGTAATAGCGCCGACAATAATCAAGCTAGCAGCGATCTACCTAATCCCCTAGAACCGCTACTACTTCTACGCGACGAATATGATTCAAGCCTTATACCGAAGATCTCAGACCTACTAGCAGAGCTACGTAACTAGCGACAGGTACTTAAGAGCCGGTTTAAGGAACAATAGATACATACTACAAGAGTTGAATTTAATAAGGTACTAAAGACACGTACCTTTAAATAGGTAGATCTGAACACACTAGATAAGCCTAATCTTCTACCTCTTACCTAGGTATTTAAATACAAGGGCAATGCTAATAGACGACTGATTAAGTTCAAGGCAAGAGTATATGCGAGAGGGGACCTTTAGAAGAACATACACTTAGACACCTATGCCTTAATACTAGCTGCACGAGTTTTCAGAGCCCTTATAGCTATCGTAGCTAAGTTTAACCTAGAAGCTAAGCAAATGGATGCAGTCAATGCCTTCCTTAATGCTATATTCCTATATACGCTATACCTTAGGCCGCCTAATAGATTTAAGCAGAAGGGCAAGGTGTTAAAACTAATCTAAGCACTCTATAGTCTATAGGAGTTACCTCGACTATAGTACAACCACTTTACTATAACACTAGAAAACAAACTTAGCATGCAACTAGTAGACAATGTAGACTGCCTATACACCGACCTAGACAAACAGATATTTATCTTCTTCTACGTAGACGATATTATACTGTTATATTACCGATAGCATATACAAAAGGCAATAGACCTTAAGTAGAAGTTGATAAAGGAATATGAAATTAGTGACCTAGGAAAGCTCTTATAGTTTCTCGGTATTGAAGTTATACGTAACAGATAGAATAGGAAGCTATAGTTGTTACAAAAGGCATATACTAAGAAGATAGGTTAGCGTTATAGAATTGATCCTAAGACTAGTAGGCGAGCAGAGGCACTATTGCTAACTAGATACGAACTATACGAGAAACCCACTAACAAGGAGACTCGTTATATAGACTTATTAGCAATACTAGCCTACTAGAGCCGTATAGGATCGCTTAACTTTTTAGCAGTTCAAACTAGGCCGGATATAGCCAAAGCAGTTTCTATACTATTAAAGGCCCTTTAGAACCTACGACAAGAGGACATAGCCGTAGCTAATTAGTATGTTAAGTACCTGCTATAGACAAGGTACCTATGCTTAGAGTACAACGCCGATAGACTAGCAGTTACCGCCTATTTAAGCTAACAGCTTCACGAATTTTACGGAGCTTCTAACGCTTCCTATAGCGACTATACGGGTACGAGACAGTTATTAGAAGGATAGATATTTAGTCTATTTAATAGACTAGTTAATTAGAAAGCAGCGCGATAGTTAACTGTTACTAAGTCTACGACTAAAGCCGAGCTGCTAGCTGCCTTATATGTAGGCTTAGAACTGATCTAGTAGAAGCGCTTCTTTAGCAATATTAGCCTTACCTTAGACAGTATACCGGTGCTATACTGTAATAATACACAGACTATTCGAATCATTAAGGCGGATGCTAGCAAGTTAGACACTAAGCTTAGGCATGTAGACATTTATTAATGCTAGCTACGCTAAGAACATAAATCAGGTCGTATATAATGCGAATATCTAGTAATATAGGACATGCTAGCTAATAGGTTGACTAAGCTCTATAGCCCTTAGAACTAGAAGAGGTTCATTAAACAACTAAGACTAACTAGACTACCTAACCTAACAACTAACTAAGATATACAGTTGTAGGGGTATATAAGGAAGCAACTCTTCCTCTAATAACCTCTTCCTCTTTAGCAATACGAAGACAACTCTATACAATAGGTAGTAGGCGCCGCCCTCCCCTATTAATTGTAACTAAGTCGATTGAGTATACCTTTATCGATTGGCGCTAATAAAAGTGTCTAATATAATAGCGACGACTAATTAGGACAAAGGATTTAACCTCACTTCCTAATACGTTATTGTCGCCTATATTATTACTTCGAACGTTACTTCTACTAACTAATAACAAGTCTGCGGCGATTGTATTAGTGCTAGTAATAATAGTATAGTAGTCTTAGCTAAGGGTAGCGTCCTTAGTTAAGTTACCTATCCTAATTTATTAAATCTGTTTAACTAATACACATCTTACCTAATCCTTTATCTAATCAAATAGACGCTACCTATGCGATTAATATAATAACCGATAGTAATAATATAACGGGCTCAGTTTAGCTAAACTAACTTTACTATACGATACGAGTACTTAGATAAGGCTTAATAGTGTCGGTCTGTACTTAGACTACATAGGAAGACAACAGTTCCTAGTAATAGGGACTATATATAAAGGTGCACATACAGTCCGGATTATATAACGATATCCTTCTAGGGTAATCGGGGTATAAAATAAGACTCTCTTATATACAGTATAGATTCAAACCATTTTTTTAGTGTTTTAATAAAGCACTATATAAGGAGTTGAAAAGATTAATTTTTCTTTTGTTTGTATATAAAGAAGCATTGACTACCTTGCCCAAAATGGAAGGCAACCTCTTTTGCATAAGCTGAGGGGGTGTATGACGCGTCAGCTCAGTTACATAACAAGCACGTGACTTCTTGGCTTGAAGAATTTTCATTATATTTTAGACCATAGAATAGAGCAGAACATAGGCAATCAAGGAAGCCAATTCAACCGCCGGCAATGCAGTATTACGTAAGTAATCCACTGCGCTGTGCGTGATAAGAAGGACTTACTAGAACAGGCACTGCTGTCAGCAGTCTGGTGATGAGTGCCTTCTTCACCGAAGCCGCTGTCATCGCTTTCGCAATTGGAGGCGCTATTATTGTCATCGCGGACCTCGCCTCGCCTGACAAGTCGTGTCCATCTGAAAAGTACTATACGGAGATGTGGAACTCGACTGGACCGATCGCCTCGATGACTACATACCTCGATGTCTGCTCCATGTATGCGGACTCAGGTGGGGGCATCGCCTCAGGACAATCGACTGCATCTTTGCCGGGGCTGGGGTTTGTTTCTGCAAACTCTCTTGGTACAATCGTCCGAGCAGGCCCAGAACTGACCACCAGCGCAAGCAGACCTGCCACCGCACTCTCAGGCGCTATCGTTGTCAGTTCCATTGCCGATACGCTACCACGAGTCACTGCAATCCCAGGCGCTGTTGTCAGCTCCATTGCTGATCTGCGGTTCAAGGCTCTAGAGGATGGGAGCGACACTATCTATATCCCATCAACTGGTACTGCGCCAGTCTCGCCAAAGCCAAATCCCAGTGCTCCGCAAAGGTGGAAGCATATCGCGCCTAGACAAGCAACTACCATTCCTCTGGCTGCGACACCGACGCCACAGCCAAATCTCTGTACGCCAGAATCCGCATCGATAGCGCCGCCATCTCCATCGCTTCGCTTCCCAATTCAGAACACAACCATACCTGCGAACATCACTGTGCCGGATCTTCCACCATGGATCACATTCGAAAATCAAACGGTGAACATTACAGAATTCCTCTCAAAGCCTCTCCAGGACGAGAACAATTGCAGCAAATACAGGACGCCATGGGATGGCCAGATGGGTCCTTCCCAGGTCCGTCGCGTGCCAATGCGTCCCATCTATCCTTGCGGAGTCCTGATTCCATACGAATGTACTGAGCAATGGTATCATGAACGCGTCAATGACTTGCCAGTGGGCTTCAGAAATCCCTGGTATTGTGAAAACGGTAATGCGGGAATGGGACACCACATGGCGATTGAAATGGGTTGCTTTAAGAAGGAGCATCGTGGCGAGGAGGCAGGAAATGAAGAGGTTGAAGTTGATCCGGGAGGAGGGGGAGGGGGAGGAGAATGATGAGGAAGTGATGGTCATCATTATAAACGTGAAGAGGAGGAGCAGGATTTCGATGGCGATTTCGATTTCGATGGCGATGGCGATGAGGATGGCGATGGCGATGGCGATGGCGATGGCGATGGCGATGGCGATGGCGATGGCGATGGCGATGAGGAAGATTGGGAGGGTGATGAGGCGGGTAATAATGAGGGCAGCTCGGAATGAGTTCATCAAAGGACTACGTGGCTTTCAGCGGCAAGTGGTAGAAGAAGCAGTTGCAGTGGCATGTGCTCGTCAAGACATGTGATGATGATGCTGACTCTATTAAGCTCTGCAAGGTTGCAGGAAAGTTTTTGCTGAAGTAGCTGAGATCTGGGGTTGTTGTATAACCAAATTTAGAGCTGGGTCGCAGAGAAGCGGAGGTATGTGTTCATTGGCTACGGGTGCTGCTTGGCCTGCAACGGCTCCACTCCACATCCACTCTAGTTCCAATTTTAGCTACCACATTCACATTCACCTTCAGGGGTAGTCTGTATTCTGCCAACAGATCTGTTTAAGCGAGGTAGGGCCATTACGTCGTTCCCGCTAAGACCCTATTTCCCTATATTATCTCGGCTAATTGCTAGGCCTCGCGTATAGCGCGTTCTCTACTAATAATATTACTGATAATACTATTAATTATAAAGTTAGTTATAAAGCTAAAGTTAACGTATAGTATAGCCGTTATATTATATTCTAAGGTATTACTACCTCTATATACTACGCCTACTATTCTTACTTTTCTTGCTATCTCTTACTCGTATACTTACTACTATTACTATATAGTAACTAATATAGTACTATTCTCTCGAGCGCGTATATATAGATATTATAGCGTAGACCTATTGCCCTATTAAACTCGATAACCTATAGATCGAGTGCTTAATACTAAGGGTAGCCTAGGCTATAATATAAGCCTACTAGAAGACCTATTAGAAACGGCGAGTCGCTTAGTATTAGTATTAGTATAGTCGCCGTTATATCTCGAATACGAGGTAGTATTATATAGATAATATATCCGCGAGGCGTATATTATAGATCTCGTATTATAGTAGTCGCTTCTTCGTTAGACTACTCGCTTACCGCCGCTATCGAGTTATTGTCTATTCTAGCTCTTACTAAGAGGCCGTCTATATTGTCTTTATCTATCGTAACGATATCTTCCGTCTCTTCTACGTGTATTTCGAAGATTGTCTCTAGCCGGTAGGTAGTCTCGTCTAGCTACTATAGTAGCGGCAGTTATTATTATTATAGTAGGAAGTTATTAAAAGATAGAAGAGAAGATATACGCGTTATCTCGGCAGTATAATTAGACGATAACTAGTTTATAAAGAAGCGATATTATAGCGCCGATAGGCGCGTTCTTACCTCGTCCGACTTCTTATAAAAGTTAACCTTAACGTTCTTAAGAAGCGAGTATAGCTAAAGGTAGTTAGTCCGCTTAAAAGCGCCTATATTATCGTTATTACGCCGAGAAGAAAGGAATACCTCGTCGTCGTCCTTAATAGCTAGTATAATTGCCTATTACTATTTATAGTAGACGCTAGTCGCTTTAAGGCTATCTGCCTCTTTAAGCCGCCGTACGTAGGTCTTAGTAATACCCTTACTAATAGGGTTGTCTTCAAACTTAGTATTAATCTAGATATACTAGTAAGGTAGATAATAAGTCGCCTAGAAATAATATATATACTCTACTAGTAGGTCGTAGATCTCGTAACGCTTAAATCGGCTCTATTATAGTATACCGAGTTTAACGTAAGCTAAAGCCTTCGAGTATTGCTTAGCTAGAAGGACCTAGACTAAATATAGCAATTGCTAGAAGACTTCTATACTACTAATAGTATATCGAAAGAAAGGCAGTTACTAGCTCCTATTAGCCGCCTTAATAGCTCTATTATACTACTTCCTATTAGTCTTAATTACGTAGATAATAATACTAGATAGCGAGAAGTTAGCCTTAGCTACCTTCTTAACTTTAGCCTTTAAGTTATATTCCGAGTGCTAGCCTTTAACGGGCCCGGTAGTACGGTTCTATACGAAGGTTAGTAACTAGTATACCTATATAGGAAGAAAGGCTAGTTTACCTATATAAGCAAAGGATTGTCCCGCCTTACGTAAGTATACTATATACTAGCGTACTAGAAGCCCTGTTCCTTCCTTAAATAGCTAGCTAGAGAGTCCGAGTCGTTATTACCTTCTAGTAAAGACCTCTCGGTATTAGTAAGCGCTTAAATACACTCTTTATTATTCTTAACGTTATAAAGTGCCCTTAGTGAGCACCTATAGACCTTCTTATATAGTAAGTTTAGTAGAAACTTCTTCCGAATAATCTCTAGCTAATAGCGCTAATAGTCTAGTAATAGAGGCGTAGTTAAACGTCTAGAAATATAGTCTTAATGCCTAACTGCTTACTTGCTAAGTCGTTAGTAACTGTCTATTATAGTAAATAGCTATTAACCTCGCTATAACTAGCCTAGTAAGCTAGGTATTAAAGACTAGTAGTATATATAACTCTATACTTGCTTTCTAAGGCTATATAAGCTATAGGTCGCTATTTTAGATAGTCGTTAGGCACTATTAGATTGCAGAGATAGAAGCTAGTCTTACAGGTATCGCACACATCGTCTATAAGTATAATACGACTATATTTCCGAAACAATTTAATACTAGCGGGCTCGGCAAATACAAAGCCTCTTTAGAGGCCGTTAGGAGTTATTATTCTAAAGCTATAGAAGTGTAGACCTAGCTTAGTAGCCTTGTTATAAGCAGCTTCTAACTAGACTAGAATATTGCCTCTTATTTGCTATATAACTTGTCTCTTATTACGGTTATAGTATAGCGAAGAACGACCTAGATTATAGGCGTCTTAGTACGCGTTTTAGCTACTAAATAGTCGCCTGCTTCTAAGATGTCCGTTTAAGGTATTGCCGATAAAGTTAATAATAAGTCTAGCTCTTAGAGAGTTGTTTATATTAGTCTTAATTATATTGCGGACGTATTTGTTTAACTTCCGGCTTCTAAGAAGGTCTAGGTCGTAGATATATCTGCCTTCGAATTAGCCTCTCGTAATATATATAGGCTCTTATCGAATACCTTCTAGCCGGTATATTATAATAATAAAGGACACTTTATAAGGCGCAACTAGTTTGAATTTAGGCTTCTAACGTTATCTAATACAGGTCTCTTCTTTAGAGGCGCTCTCGTTACGGTCCTTGTTTTCCTTACTTTTGCCCTTACTATTACTATTACGTCGTCGTTTAATATAGCCGAAGTACTGCTTCTTAGTTGTCCGGCCTTATATATCTAAATTCTTGCCTAAACGCGATATAATCGTACGCGAGTAAATATTGCTTAATATAGCCTATATCGTTTCCTATTGCGATAGTAAAAGTTTAAATAGTTTAGTAAGGTTAAAGAATAGTTACCGAAGTCGTTCTAGCTCCGTAATATCGTCTATTATAGTAGTATATAGTATATTATAAAACGAGAGGTTCGGGATTTCTAGACCCCGTAGTAGTTCGGGTTAGTTTAGTTTAGTTTGCTAAGCCGAAGATCTAGTTTGGTTTAGGTTGGTTTGCTAAGCAACTATAGGATTAGCTAGTTCGAACTATAGAATTTATCGGTTTCTAAGAAGTATAAGAATGTCTACGTAACTCGAAGCAAGCCCTTTATAAGATACGAGAGTATAGCCGGCAGCGTAGCCGGCATTTTTCAGTTATAGGAAGGTACTTATATAACCCTAAATCTATAGACAATTAGCTAAGGGCACTAACTAATTAAAAGCATACATATATACAAGCTATTATAGTTTAGTTTAGAAACTGCACTTATTAGGTATGAATTTTATCCTTTCGCTCGCTATTTAATTCCCTAACTCTTCGGTAGAATGTTATTATCTAGATCTAGGTAAAACTTATCGATTTCCCTAGAAGCCCTCCTTAAGAAGTTCTAATACTTTCTAACTAAACTATTCTCTAATATTAAGTACTAGGATAGCTCCTCCCTCGGTATTAGTATAGTATATAAAAGAGCTATAAAGTAGCTCTATATAACGTTCTACTAGTTACTCGCTATACTAAGGCCGAATGCTAGTTCGTTCCTTAGAACTCTTAGTTATTTAAGAGATATAAAGGGTAGGGCAGGCAGTAACTTTGTATTATATAAGGAGGTAGAGGCTACTATAGAGGAGTTCTTTAACCTATAGAAGATAGTAAAATATATAGAGGCAGCTATAGGTCTAGGTACCTAGTTGAATTTCTAGTAGGTAGAGTATAAGGATATTTAGAGTAAGTATTAGGTAGAGTTGCGAAGGCAGGCATATAATATAGTCTAGAAAACAGGAATAATACCTATAACTATAAGTATTAGGCTCTTTAACCTTCCTTATTTTTCCCTGTTTTCTTTTTATAAAAATCTAAACTAATACAAATCAACCGGAATGTCTATCTTCTTTTAGTTCTTTAAAAAACCTAGTAGCGTAGCTAGTAGCGTAGCCGGCAGCGTAGCCGGCCTTTTTACTCCTTAGTACTACTAGGATTTTCGAAGACTTCTATTCCGTACGGCTAATAAAGTATACTATACTATATATATATATACTTAGAGAGTATTTAGAGCGCGGTATATAGCGCCGTATAATAGCGGCTTATTTCGTATATAGAAAAGCTTATAGATAATACTACGAACATCCTTCCTACTAGAATATCTATCCTACCTAGTACTATCTCGAATATAGATATTCTAGCCTTTTAGAATCTAATCGAGTGCTTTGAAATCCTTATCTATAATTGTTATACGCTTCGCGTAGATAGCTATAAGGTTAACCGCTAAAATAGTATTAGTATAGTTCGAAAAGAGGTAGAAGAGAAATATATATTCGAAGATACGAACTAGGTAGGCTTCTATAGCCTCTTAAAGGGCGCCTAGCGCGGAGGCTTAGAAGCGAAGGTCTAGTATATAATACTAGGCAATTTCGCGAATAAGTCGTCGGAAAGGAGCTTTACGGAGTAGGAGATTAGAACTCCTCTAATACTTCCGAATCTTACGGAGGGCTACGGCTAAAGAAGGATTAGTAAAAAGATAGTAAGAATGCCGGCTACGCTACCGGCTACGCTACCGGCTATAAATAGGACTTACTTCCTAGACGCTATCGACGCTTCGTACGATTGTTACTACTAGTAGTAGAAGCG